TTGACAGAGAGAGACAGAGCACGAGCAGGGGAGGGGCAGAGAGCGAGGCAGACACAGAATCCGAAGCAGGCTCCAGGCTCTGAACCGTCAGCACAGAACCCGATGCGGGGCTAACCCATGGACCGCGAGATCATGACCTGAGCCGGAGTCAGACACTCAAGCAACTGAGCCACCCAGGCGCCCCAGGTTTGTTTTTAAGGTGGGCGCAGCCGGGGCAAGCACGTGGGGAGACTGGAAAGGGGGACCCAGAAAGGAAAAAAGAGGCCCCTGTGCAGGGGCGGGCAGGAGCTGGCGGCGGGGGCCCCAGATGGTGCCCCGGACGGAGGGCTGAGGGTGGTGGGGAGTAGAAGAAGGGATCAGAAAAGCGTGGCTCATCGTTGGAGGAATTCCAGGCATGGATCAGAAAGGTTATCCGTGTGTGTGCTGGGGCAGGGGAGGGGCGGAAAAGGACAAAGGCAGGGCAACCAGCCCGTGGGCCCGAGCAAGTGGTTGACCAAGGAGGGCCAAGGACACCAGGCCGTCATGAGCTGCTGTGACTTCAGGGAGGCTCTCTGAGCTCCGAGCCCCTCACTGCACCTGGGACCCCCGTGGCCGAGGGGAACACCCACCCTCCAAGGACTTTAAGGCTGGTAAGAACTAACACTCAGAGCTGACTTAGAGCAGGGCTTCTAAACAGCCTGCACACCCGGCAGGTGAACTATTCTCCCATCTTACAGGTGAAGGGACTGAGGCACAGAGAGCGTAAATAAACTGCCCGTGATTCTTTAGCTGCTACCTGCACCTCAGGGGGTAGCGTTGAGGCCCCAGTGACACCAGGATCCATAGGTACCTCTGAAGAGCAACATGACTTAAAGACCATAAATAATACTGCTCATGCCTTTGACCCAGTTCAGAAGCAGGTTTAACAGCTAATACAGCTTCTGCACCGGCCTTCTCCAAGGCCCTGGGAAGGGCCCTGATAATGCATTTATAGGATCACATGATTTATAAAATCCGCAAAAGCAGTTATATTTTTTTGATATTGTCTCCTGTCCTCAAGTAAGTTCCAGCCTCCACAGTCACCCACATCCAGCATATAATTTTTTAAGGGGTGGAGTAGGGACAGGAAGGTGACATAGCAGGTGTCCACAGCAGGCACAGGGAGAAGCGAGTCCTGGGGTCAGCTGAGCCAGCTGGGTCCTGGCCGTGAGCAGTGGACCAGGCTGCAGGACCGACCCTGGAGAAGCTGCACACTCCGGTGGGACGGGGGACACGTGGGACTCCATCCTTTCGGTAGAAGCAAAGCCCGTGTGTAAATTCCTCCCCCCCACCCAGACTCCATGGATATCCTGTTTCTAGGGCAGTCTCAGTTGGTAAGTATAAATAGAGGCACGGTGGCTCAGCCGGATGAGCGTCCGACTTCGGCTCAGGTTGTGATCTTGCTGTTGGGGAGTTCAGCTGTGCTGACGGCTCAGAGCCTGGAGCCTGCTTCGGATTCGGTGTCTCCCTCTTTCTCTGCCCCTCCCCCGCGTGCGCATTCACACGCTCTCCCTCCCTCTCTCTTTCTCTCTCAAAAATAAATAAACATCAATAAATGAATGAATGAATGAATGAGTGAATGGCTATTACCTCCTGGCTGCGTGACTCCAGACCGGCTGTTTCCAGGGCTGAGCTCAGTTTCCTCATCTATGAAATGGGAGGGTAACTCCCAGCTTCTAAGGCAGTGGGCCGGACCCAAAAAGAGTAGGTACAGAAAGTGTTGGGCACAGCCCCCAGCGTGAGGGACGCCCCCAAGACCACGGTAGGAAGTCAGCAAGGCCCATCTGCTTTGGTTGCCACCAGCCCTGCTGATGGGCTAGGGCCTGGCAGAGACTTCTAGAGCAGTGCCCACCCTGTGCAGGCTTGTATGCTCCCCTGCCCACTCCCTAAAAGGGAAGCAAAGGGAGTTCCAGACAGGATCAAACTGGGGATCAACCTCCCCGCTCCTGCAACCTGAGAACCAACCAGTGCTGGCCCATAACCCCCTGAGCCTCCACTTCCCACCCCAAAGAGGTCTCAGACCACCCCCACGGCACTCACGGGACTCACCAGGCCCCGCGTAACTGTGAACACTTCACGTCCACCAGCTTTCTTAATGTTCTCAACGAAAGCAGCCCAAGGGTGCTTCTACGCCCATTTTGCTGAATGGACAGACGATGAATGAATGAATGAATGAATGAATGAATGAATGAATGAAATGGAAGAGGGCGAGGCTCAGTTAAGTGACTTGCCCAGCATCACACAGGCGGGAAGTAGCAGCAAGGGCACCAACCTGTACCTGATCTCCCTATAGTGGTCAACGGCCAGCAGGTGCCCTTGGCCCCCGGGCACCCCAAGACAGCTCAGTGAGACTGTATGCCAGCTTGCCTGGGTCCCATCAGCCAGGTGGGGACGGCTTCCTGGGGAGCCGTAGCAGCAACAGCAGAGCAACAGCCCCACCACAAGGACCCTGACTAGGAAGCCCCCTGTCCCGGGAGCTGCCACTGCAGCCCTCTGCCTCTCCCCTGCTCCACTCTTGCCCCCTCCCATCCTTCCCTCATCAAGCAGCAAGCGGGATGCACTTAAAGGTGGATCTGCCCGCGCCATGGTCCCTCTGCAAATAGAGCAAACCCCCTCCACTCCTTCAGGGTCAAGCCTACACCAGCCTCATAGGCACAATGCTGCCCAGCACCATTGCTAACAACAGCTCAGCTCTGCTACTCTTTTGTTTCTCTAGTCTGTTCCTCGGACCAAACACCGGCCTCGGGGGATGCCCCCTACCAGGTCAAGCCTCCGTGATGGGTACTCACCCGGATCTATCAGGAAACACTGACGTCTGTCTTTCTCCCCTGATAGACAGTGAGCTGGAGGGCAGGGACCAAGTCTGGCCACGCCCTCCACCAGATCACCGAAGTGGGTAGTTCTGTCCACAGGGAAGCAGGTTGGGAAACCGGCCCCTGGGGTGGGCAGACCCCAGAGAGATCACCAGGGTAGAGAGACTCAGGAAGGCGGGCTGCGGGGGCTGGTTTGAGTCTTTGTAAGTTACTACGTAAGTTCTTAAAGTTCTCTGAGTCTCAGTTTCTCCATCCACAAAGTAGGGATAAAATTACATCACGGTGTGGGCTTGAGGATTCAACAAGGCAATGGGTATAAACATTTCCTCTATTTCCCCTGCCCCTGCCCCAAATACCCTACCCAGAAGCCTCCAGGGGAAACCTTGGCGTTGTGTGAGGTCCTCGGGGTAGGGAGGGAGAATCCCAGGCAACAATACTTTCCTGCAGTCCCCACAAGGGGACCCTGGAGCCCCCCAAACCCTTCTCCATTCAGCCTTGGAGCTCCAGGTATATGGTCCCCATAGTCCTGCAGAAGACTGATGAACACAGTCTCCCCCACCAGCTGACTCTACCCCCACTGGCTTCTCAAACCCAAGCCCACCAGATGCCCTTCAGGGACTGCCTCGTGGGTTACTCTCTCCTTCCCAACACTGTGGTTCTTGAGGGGGGGGGGCAGGGTCAGCTCTGGGGTCACCTCAGCCACCCTAACCCTGGGCTTGATACAGCAGAAACATGACCCTGTCCTGCCATGACCTTGGCACCCCCCCCCCCCATACAGCCCAGCCCTGGCCCACAGCAGGTGCCAGGGAAACACTGCTTCATTTGGACTTGATGAATGAATCCAGATGATGAATCCAGACTCTAAAGGACTTGGGGGCCACTGCCCCTTCCAATGTGGCCCCAATGACAGGACGGTGCAGAGGAAGAGGTCTCCCCTCGGCACATTCTTGGAGGTCCTTTTGGCTCTAAAGAGTGACCCAACTCTGTCGCCTACACTAACAGCCAGTGATCATTATGTTTCCATTGTAAGTTCGAACCACCCCACCCCTCAAGTGGTCCTCAGCCTTTTTCCTCAAAATAGGAAAGGCAAGGTAATTGGGGCATTTTCATGCTGGTCAACGATACCATTAAATGTAATCCGTGGATAAAACCAACAAGAGCTAACATGTATGGGGCACCTCCTAAGTTTCTGGCACCTGCCTAGAGGCATGACAAAGATATCTATGTATGCATCCTAAACTCTAAGGAAGACTGAGGTCCAGAGAGTGTTAAGGCCGCCCAGGGTCACACGTGTGGGGCGACAGTCTCTTAGAGTCTATTGAGAATCGCAGTATCCTCACTGCGGGGAGGGTTCTGGAGGAGGATCATGCCCCAGCCTGGGACCATCCCCAGCCTTCCCTCTCCCCCCGCCAGTCTCTTCCTCCCCCTCCTCGAACGAGTCCCCTCTCCCCGCCCCAGCCTCCCCCTGGGTCCAGCTTGCCCCCTGAAGGGGCGGTGGAGGTAGCATCTCACCAGCACGCCGTCTCCCAGGCTAGGGTCCTGTTGTCGCCCGCCACGGAGCCGCTGTCCCAGAGGCTGCCGGCCCACCCCTGCTGCTCCGCCTGACCGAGTTGAGGACGCTTCTCCCCAGCTGGATGACCGGGCTGCTGAGTCGGGCAAGAGGGCCGCGTTCGAAAGTGCAATTATTAGAGTTTTGGGCGGCGTCAGCTTACTCCACCCAGTGGGGCGCCGCTGCCCCGGTGCCCTCCGGCCGGGCTGCCGGGTCAGCTTGAGGGTCGCTGCGAAGATGCTTCTGCAGGTCAAATTTCTGTAAGTACACGCTTCACCGCGCCGCCGTCAATGTTTTTTGCCCACCGGTCGTCGCCCAGCAGCAATACTGCCCACTGGCTCGGGCGCCGGCGTCATTTTGTAGGACACCAGCGCCTGCTTCACGCCGTTGACCCCACCGACACACCCGCCGCCGCTTCACCGCTGGTTAAGTTCCCCAGGGAAGTCATCACCTGCCGCTTTGGGGGGGCCCGCTTTTTTCTCGGGCGCGCGGGCGGGGGCGGCGCGGCGGGCGGGCCGGCCTGAGGCGGCCTGCTTACAGGGGGAGAGGCGGGGCGGGAGAGAGAGGCAGCAGTCAGTTCCAGGGTGCGCTGGAGATGGAGCCACACCGGTTGATGATTCGGCACGACGGGCAGGGGGGGGCAGCGGCTCATGCCTCCCAGGTCTCTCCTATCTCCCACCCCTCCCGAAGGTTCAAGGATTAAAAAAGCTCAGGGCACCTGGGTGGCTCTAGCTGTTGCTGCCCTGACCCGGACTGCAGCTCAGGTCTTGCTCACGGCTCTGTGAGTTCGAGCCCTGAGTTGGGCTGACCAAGCGGAGCCTGCTTTTCATCTCCTCCCTCTCTCTCTCTCTGCTCCCCCTCCCACTTTGTGCTCTGCTAAGTCTCTCTCAAAAATAACAAGGCAACTTAAAAAAAAAAAAAAAAAAAGTAAAACTCAGGAAAGCACCTCCCCTCAGAGCCTCACCTTCACAGCTCAGGTCACCAGATCGAGGGCCAGAATGAACCCATTCTCGATTACAAACTGTCACCTCCTCCTCCTCCCACGGGCTCTCGGCTGTTAACCTGAGAGAGACCACCATGGCCTCCCGCCACCAAGGGGAAGTGGTCTCTGTGTCCCCCCACCCTGCACCCAGGGCCCAATACAAACGGCTCCAACCCATTCCCTGGATGGCTGGGGGAGCCCAGGACACAGACACCTTGGGGCAAGGAGCCAGAAAAGCCCCTGCTCTGCTGCTGAGTCTCCCCTCCCGAGCTGCAAGCCCAAAAAAGCATCAGAGACTGCTGGTGACCAGGAAAAGGGGAGGGGAGGCCACGGGAGACAAACCTTCCTCTCCAACATCCTGGGCTGACCTTCTGCCTTCTCTGCCCTGACCCAGCCCCCTCTTAGGAAGAATGACCCCAAGGGGAGGCTCAGGAGATGTGGCCTGGGCTCCAGAGTCACACAGCAAGAAATGGGACCAAACTCCAGGAAGGAGCTCGCTCCCCCGGGGCCCGGGCCCTGACATGTTATAGACAAGGACGTGGAAGGCAAGAGAAGCAACTTGCTCAAGGTCAATTGCCAAAGACAAAGCAGGACTTGAACCCACATGCCGTGTGTGTATCTGGGCCCCACGCAGGGCCTTCCTGTGCTACGGGGCTCAGAAATACTGGCACCACGAGGTCTGGAGGCTGCCCCCCACTTCCTGTCAGATTCTCACTGCATCAGGCAGAGAAGGACCCACCTTTCTCTGCTCCAGAGGCTGATGTGTTTGTGAAACAGTGATGCGTATGTTTCTAGTCCTTTCCAGGGGCAGCCAGTGAGGGGCTACAGGGAAGCAGCTCCTGCCTCACCAGCCCTTCCTTCTCAGCCACGGCCAGAGACCCTAAGAAGCCTGGCAAGAAGCTCAGGACTGGAAGGCTGAGTTTAGAGCTGGGAAGCCACTGCACTCCAAGGCCCAGCCCAAGTCACACTGCCATTGTGGGTTCTCTTCTCTCAGTAATTGGTGGCGAATGGGAAGTTAATGTGGCACCCGAGGCCTGGACAGCCGGATTAACCTTAATGGGGACCTCTCAACTGTGGACTGGGCTCTTGGGAGATCAACGGGCTCCGTTGCTGAACTTGACTAACAACCACAGTGATCAACCCACTAATTGATGCTCTGTGCTAAGGGCCTGACATACAGTAGCCCGTCTGACCTTCACGGTTAATCCTGTGAAGTCATTTTGTTATCCCCCCTTTACAGATGAGGAAAACTGAGGCTCAGAGAGATCAGGCACTTTTACCTAGGTTGCCTGGCTAGAGGCCTCTGGCTCTTGGTGTAGGGTACACACGTATATTAAACCAAAAATAGAGCACTAAGCACCTGCCAAGCCAAGCCTCAAACTACAATCACCCCAAATCTTGGACTCCCTTGAATGAACCCGTTTTCCAGAATCTGGCCAAACCCTACAGTTCCTTATAAGCAGGGAACAATCCTGTCTTTTACTCCGTCCCATGTAGAGACGTCCCCCTTGCTTCCTGTTAAGAGAAGACCCCTAGGCGGGACCCTGGAAGGGGGGCCTCCCCCAGGCTCTCTTCCACCACTGAGATGCCATGAGGCAGAGGCCTAGCCCCACCTGGGTCTCCTCCTCACCTGCACCTTGGTTTCTGGGGCTGTTCTCGGTGCCTGGCCCAAGCAAGGGCACAGTGAGGGCTGACTGTGATGTTATTTTGATAACAATGATTTATATGAAGACTAAAGAATTAAAAAAAAAAAAAATTAAGGGACACTTAGGTGACCCTGTCCATTGAGTGTCTGACTCTCGGTTTCAGCTCAGGTCATGATCTCATGATTCGTGGGTTCGAGCCCCGCGTCGGGCTCTGTGCTGACAGTGTGGAGCCTGCTTGGGATTCTCTCTCTCCCCTTCTCTCTCTGCCCCTCCCTTGCTCACGTGCTCTCTCTCAAAATAAATAAATGAACTTTAAAAAGTATTTTTAAACATTTAAGAACCACAAAGGGTCCCAGGAGGCAGAAGAAGGGCTCCCAGGCAGGTTCTGGTGACCTTGGGAACCCCACAGCGGTTCTCCCACTCATCAGATCAGGCGGGCACCTTCCTTAGGAAAAGCCACTCCGAAAAGCAGCCGGAGGAAGCCACATATTGGAGTATGGCCCAGCCCCGGCCCCCGTCATAGCCATGCCCAAAGTGCTGTGGTCCATCAACGAGAAGAGTCGGGCAGCTACCGGTCTGGATCAACGGGCTGGATACTTTCTCCACGTTACATTCTTTTTGATTTTTTTAAAGTTTATTTATTTATTTTGAGACAGAGACAGCATGAGTCGGGGAGGGGCAGAGAGAAAGGGAAAGAGGGAATCCCAAGCAGGCTCTGCACTACCAGCACAGGACCTGATGTGGGACTCAAAGTCATGGAACCACGAGATCGTGACCTGAGCTGAAACCAAGAGTTGGACGTTTAAACAACTGAAGGGGCACCTGGGTGGCTCAGTCGGTTGAGCGTCCGCCTTTGGCTCAGGTCATGATCTCACGGTTTGTGGGTTTGAGCCCCACATCGGGCTCTGGGCTGACAGCTCGGAGCCTGGAGCCTGCTTCGGATTCTGTGTCTCCTTCTCTCTCTGCCCCTCCCCTGCTCACGCTTTGTCTCACTCTGTTTCTCAAAAATAAATAAATGTAAAAAAAAAAATTTTTTTTTAATGACTGAGCCATCCAGGCGCCCCCTCTACGTTACATTCTTATCATGCAGATGCTCTTGTCCAAAGTTACCCAGGCAGGAGTCAGGCCCAGCTGGTCTGGCTCAGAGCCCTCCCCCTCAACAGCTCTCCCACAAGGCTCGCATGTGTGGCACCTGCCCTTCCGGTATCTGTTTCTAGAACACGTGCCTGTGCCCAGCGGCTCCATGATGTCTGCTAACTGGCCTGGGCAGCTGTGACGCAGGTGAGCACCTGTGCCTACCCGGCCTCTTTGCTCAGAGCACAGAGGAGGGTCCCAGGTCGAGGGGGACCCAGTGTGGCTCTTCTCGGTCAGAAGATGCCCACACAGCTGTCCTCCCCAGCTGTCCCGAGTCAGGCAGACCCTCAGGTAATCTTTCTTCCCCACCCGCCCCTTCTAAGGTCATAGGCCCAGAGACCAGTTGTTCTAACAGCTGCTAAAATCCAGGTCCCAAGCCCCTGGCGACGGCGCGCGGGGGTTTTGCTTCATTTTTCCTCTTCGGTGCCCTCGGCGGCCCCAGCCTCACGGGACAAGCCCTCATCAAATTCCCCCCTCACACCAGGAAGCTTCCAGAGACCAGGGCTTGGGGAGGCATGGAAAACAGGGATAGAGTCCCCTTCCATCCAGGGAGCCAGGCCTGGCCAAGCCCCTTCCTGGACCTGCACCTGTTTCCCCACAGGACGGCAAAGGGCGAGGGCAGAGCGGCCAGGACCTGACAGTCTGTGCATCCCTCCCTGTTCTCCCAGGGCTGTCAGACCTGGCCGGCTCTCCCGTCACACCCACTGTCACACCCACCGGGCTCTGAGGCAGGTTCCAGAAGCTCCCTGACGGCAGGGCCTGCCCCACCCCCCGCCCTCGGAGCCTCTGCACAGAGCAGCCTGGCCCGGCAAGCCCCCACGAAAGCGCGGCAACAGACTTAAACCGCATTCGAGCACTTGGTCCTTTCCCCAGACTCCAGGCACGAGGGAATCTACTGCCGGTTTCAAGTTCAAAGCAGGACTTTGAGAAAAGGGCTAAGGGGCGCGGGGTGGGGTGGCGGCAGCTGGCGGCCTGCTGCAGTGGAGGTGGGGCGCCCAGGCGAGGACGCACCCGCCCCTCCCCCCCTCCCCCAGCGGGGACTTGGGTCCCTCCCTGCCTCAGGAAGAGGGGACAGGCCTTCCAAACCCCAGCTCCCAGGGACCCAGTTCTCTGAGCACCCAGGGTCAGATGCTAGGGACTACAGGCACGGCCAAATGGGGGCTCACACCGGGGTGGGGTCCAGATAACAAGAGAACCACAGCCACAACTCAGCTGGCCACCTCCCTGACTAGAAGGAGCTAGATCCGTGGGGGCCCGGGGCTGGGGAGGGAAGGTTCACTGTTCTAGCCTGGAACGCTCGTCTCCCTCTAGAGGCAAACTCCCGTCCCCCTTCGGTCTCCCCAGGGACCCGCCTCCCCACCATCGCTCGCCTCTCCTCCGGTCGCTGGCTCCCCATGTGCGCCACGAACACCCCCCAGCCCGCAAAATGACAGTTTCCTCTGTGCTGTCGGCTCAGAGCCTGGAGCCTGCTTTGGATTCTGGGCCTCCCTGTGCCTCTGCCCCTCTCCTGCTCATTCTCTATCACTGTCTTTCTCTCTCAAAAATAAATAAACATTAAAAAAAAATTTTTTTTTTTGAACAAAAATAGTTAGCTCTCCAGGAGAACAATAATCCTGATTTGTAGAGTTTGCCGGTTTCCATAACGTAAATTCTCCCACCGTGGTCAATTTCAAGCTACCAGCATGATGTCACTGAACACGGATGTGGAAAGAGATCATATGGTGTTTCTACCAAAAAACACAGATACTATAAAATCCTACCTGTAGTAAAACAGTAATATTTCACCAGTAATAAAATGGTGGTATAAACACTACTAAAAGCACTAGC